AGTGAAGGGTTGGTGTCGTTACAGGTGGATGTTATCAGTAGTATCAGTTCATTTAGCCCACCTCAGCTCCATCCACGCTCCATGTCTTTGCCCATTTCCATTTTGGACTGCCAAGATGGCGACGGCCACAATCACCACACGATGAGCTTCACAATGGCTCTTCAGAAACCTATGGGTGATGTCATTGAGACTACGTCCATTTCTAATTGTACAGTCTGTGGTTGTACCTCTTAGAGTGGGACACCTTTATTTTTCTTATTAATACAAAGAGTTTGGTGACTAGTGACTAATTTCTAGCGCAGCTCCATCCACCTTCAACCTGAGCAGAAGCCTTATCAGCTATAAGTCGGGGTGCGCAGGGCATTTAGTTGTTGTTACTTGTTTTTGTTGGCCGAAAACAAGTCCAATTTGAACATACGAGTCTAAAATTCTGGATTCATAAAGGCATATAAAATAAGCACCAAGTGTACATTTTGTGGAATCCCCTAGATTTATGAAATTCCAAATTCCCAGAAAAAATACAGGGGAAATTACCTCAGTGTAGCCACAGCCCTGTTTGAAATTTTGCTTTGATGGCATGGCCTTAATTTAGAACAGTATTGGCAAAGGAAGTTGCACAAGGTTCAGCTTTTTAATTTTTTTTTGGAGGAAAAAAAGGTTAGCCACATTGTTAAAAAAGACATAAAAAGTATCTAAAAAATAAAGATCAGACAGGAGGCAGATTTTGAAGTAGTCCTTTCATTTAAGCTGTGACATTCTTATGAGATATTTTGTTGCTTTCATTGAATTGTACATTTTTAATAGAGCTGATAAATATAAATCTTTTATTCTCTTTCTAGTCGCCAATTGTCTGTATTTTCACTCCTTCTGCACACATAAATGGATTTTGCTGTCAGACAAACCTACATTCTGTTATATTGACAGATTCCTGTGTGTTTTTTTTGCATTCCTTATCAAATACCTGATTACAGACTCTGCTCTACCCTCTATCTCTCCTTTCTTGCCCTTCATCACACATGTGCCGTTCCATGATAACCGAACCATCATTGACAGTCCTGTGTCACTCTTTCTACGCTAAATCCCAGAGGAATTTTCCACCACCCAGCTGGCTCTCTCCTCCTTCATCTCTGTCATATTTCTTTTCCTCTTCATCCTTTTTTCCCTTCCCCCTTTCTCACGCCTCATTTCTGTCATCCTCTATAAGCCCATCTGCCTTTCCATCATCTTTCCCCTGCAATCTCAGCCTTCTTCCCTTTTTATTCCTGTCTCTCCTTCTTCTCTCCCCGTGCTCCCTCTTCTCTCTGTCTCTGCTGCTTTCCCTTCCTTCTCCCTGTTCTGGACACTGTGAGTGGAAGACAGATTATGTCAGACATTTATAAAACCGGATTAGCTAGGATCACCTTCACACACGCACACACATTCACATGCATGCACACACACAAATATAAATGACTCCATATAGCCCCATTCAAACCCTAATTTTGTCTGTTCATGCATAATATGGCCAAACGTATCTGGATACCACTGTTTACATACTGTACTGAGCCCTGGGTTCTTTTGCCCTAGGGCTGTCTTTAATAGCTCTTAACGTCTCTAAATTGCATTAAAGAAAAGACTTAATACTATAGCATAAAATTATCCTAATATTGTGTAGAACGGTGCGGGTTATGTCCTGTCCTTTATGAACATGGCAATGCCAAAGCAAAGTCCATAAAGAAATTTATTTGGTGTGAATTTATTGTGAAAAAACTTGACTTTCCTGCACAGAGCAGTGACTTTAAGCCAATCACACACCTTTGGGATGAACTGGAATGCCGAATGAAAGCCAGACCTTACCACCCAACGTCATTGCCCGACCTCACGTAGTGCTTTTGTGGCTGGATGGGATGAAATCCCGGCAGCCAGGTTTCAAAATCTTGTGAACAGCCTTTACAGTAGAGTGGAATAACATATCATATATATGTTGTTATAAGCTTCCATTGTTTTGGAATAAGTTCTTCAACAATCACATATGATATGAATGTATGGTTGTCCACATAATTTTGGACATGTTGTGTATGTATTTATAGATACACTAACACATGCTGCACTCTATTTTAATAGTGCTCACACATATTTTCCTAAACCATTCACACATGGCCCATGACACCAACACCTCATGATATACGGTATTCATCTGCAGCTCTGACTCATTCAAAACATACTTTCCAAAATCACTGACAACCATCACACTTGCTCGTGGCCCTCTGTGTCTCTGGAGTCCTGTATGGATGGCTACTCTTTAAGACACACAAATCAGCTTCATATTACACAGCACTGTCTACATGAGCAGCATCCACTGAGCCATAATTAGTTAGAATAACAATAAGTACCACCTTTGTCTCTGTGTCATCTCTTGCTTCCTCTCTTTATTTATCCCTGCTTTTCTTTCCTCACTGCGTCCCCCTCACCCATCCCTCCATTTCTGACTCAGCAGAACAAGTCGGAGACAAGGTCATCTGACTGCTGTTGCTGTGGAGACCGAGAATTGGGGGGATTTTTCCCTCCCCTCCGTTCTTGTACTGCAAAGCAGGGTGGTGTGGGGAGGTGTGGGGCAGGAAGGAGTGAGAAACATGAAGGTATGACAGAGGTTAAGAAAGGATACTACTGGCAGCCATTTTGGTTGAAACAAGATTGAAAATAACTTTATTAGCAGCACCACAGTGACAAAGTCACCCTCATGAACAGCAGTGTGGGCTTCAGGATCAAATTCTATCCTTACTGTTAATTTCTTATATGATATACATTGCCCAACACTTATATATATACTGTCTGTATATATATAGTCTATATGCATTACAAAAATGAGTTAACAGAGACAGGAAAATAATAAAATACATTTAATGTGATTTGTGTTTGTGCTTTAGTTTTACACTTATTATTGAATTAAACATATACCTCATAATTTACTTAAAAAAAAGCTTCCCCAAACAGCTTTTACTGAGTTATTGTGCATATCGCCTTTACAGCTTTATTTAACCCTAACACCTATCCCAACATTTGTAGAGTCTGGTCCATGTAAATGAAAACAAATGGATTATTTTATATTGTTAGATACTTCCAATGAATTTGGAAATAAAGTCGCCAATAATTCTTTAAATTGTTGTACTGCCAAAGTGCTATGAATTTAGGAAGGCAATCAGATTCTTAATGTTTCAGCTTTATACTATACTTTTACAATTGACTGTCCATATATAATATAAAAACATACTATTACTTTTCATAATATTAGCAGTGGAATTTCTACATAATGATACCCGGCTAAACAGAAGGTGGTGAAAGGTTAACAAGAAACATTAATCTGAATTTACATGCAGTAGCCGGCTATTCACAGGCCTATAAGCTGTGCCAATTGTTCTTTAGAAACCAGACCTCAGTCAGACAGTAATGCAAGTAAAACTGGTAACATTTGCTTTCACATCCTGCCAGTGCTGTAATGGTGTGATTTTTCATACTGGGAACAGAAGTGTACTTGAAACTTTACCCAACCCATCTGGTAGCTCAAGAAGGTTACAAACACCAAATAACCACAAACATGATTAGTCACTGCTGAATTAAATTTAAGCTATTTGTTAGTAATCTGCTGTATTATCAGATAGCTTAAGTATCTAAAAAACAGTGGTATGTTTGAAGACTGTTGTAACTGACTGCCTGCTAACCCTAACTAACCCCATTCTGATGCTCTGGGGTTTCATTGTGCTGTGTGTTCATCGTCTGGGCCTGCAGCAGGGAAGGCAGTGAGGCATTGCAACAATGTGCTGCACGGACAGCAAGCATGACTCTCAGCTTTCCCTTGCAAATCAGGCATGGCTTTATATGCATGTATGTCTGCATTAGTGACTCTGCACTGCTGCATCGTCCCTTCAGTGAAAAAGCAGAGGTAAAAAGAAAACGTGACCAAAAAGGCCTGCAATGGCTACTCGCTGCTGCATATGGGCCAGCTTTCACTCTGTCTCACGTCCTCTGTCTGGTTTTTTTTTTTCATGCTTTCTGTCTTTTGAATCTCTTTGGCGCTGATACAGAAAAATACACAATCTGTCGATCTATTCATTTTCTTTCCTGTCCTCATATTTTGTTCTCTTTATCCACACTGTCCTTGGCCTTCCCTCTCTGTCCCCTGTCTGTCTGATGTTTAAAGAATGCAGTTTGATTAGTTAGACTGGTTCATTCCTGTCTCACTGTGTGGATACTTGTTGCAGCTGTTTTAGCAGCTTATAGTACTAAAAAAGGAGTCAGGTTGGATTCCATACTTTACTTCGACTCAGGTACACCCATGTCAGTATTTTACCTGTTTCCACTGAGTGCAAGTCTCTCCACATCAGCTAAAACTGCTGACTCTGCACTGTCAGAACTGCTCACCTGCTGAAGCACTGGCAGTCAGGTTGCAGGTTGCTGTCTGCAGCCGACCATTCCCCTGATGTGCAGTTATTAACTCATTTCTGCATTTCTCCCTCACACACCCACACTGTGACTGTATGGCTGTCTCCTGGGTCTGCTGCACCCAGGCCCACTACTGAAGTGACATATGGAGCTGCACGACATGCTCTTGACAGCACCGACACGACCGATGAGACATCCAAGGGTGCTTATCACATGCAATAATGCACACAAACCCACTCTTTTATGTTACATAGATATATTACACGATGAACAAACACAACCACGACAACTACGAATCTAACCTTGTGCGTCCATTTTTACCAAAAATGTCAGCCTAGAGACTTGCGACGCTGCTGGCTGCAAGCCTCGGAATTCTGCAGTAAAGCAGGAGGGGCAGAATTGGCCTTCTATTGGCCCGCTCGGAGACAGAGACGAAACCAATTGGTCAGCGATCCCATCAGCGATGAGAAACTCGGAATTATGATTGGCCGGCTGCAGTGAGCGGTGGGCGGGTGTTATTGCCCCCACCGTTTACTCGTTTGCTTGAGGCGGTGCTTGTTCCACTGGCGGAGTAGTGCGACTAAAGGAGGGTAGTACTGCGGCAGCCGGCAGAGCCGCGGAGGGAGATCAAGTGCTGAAAAGGTAGCAGTGCGGCTCGTTAGTATCGCCGGTCTTTCACCGCAAGTATCAGAGAGCAGAGGAAGGAAGCGCATCCCCGCGTGATGCTCCGCTTGAGACCGCAACATTTCATTTGAAAGACGTCTCACGGGGGGAAAGATTGTAGCCTAAAATCTTTTTGAAGGTTTGAGAGAGAGTTTATTTAAACCCAAGAAAAACGCTTTTGTCAGACCAAATGATAAAATCCCTGACGTCTTTTTCCTGCTCATTTTTCATTTAAGCCAACCCTGAACAAAAACTGAGCATATTCTCTCTTATTTTTTTCAAGGCAAGGTATTTTGATATAATTCAACGCGAGGGGCTGACACCTCTCAAGCCGTGCATCACCTGAGAGGAGAAGAGTGACTGCGCCAACATGGGGGTAAGACTGACGATTCCCACTTGTTAACTGCGTTGTAGCCCACCTGAAGTGGCCTGAGCGGTGAGCGGTAGCCTGGTATCATCCTCCTGACGAGGAACGGCTTCAAATTGAGCCGTGATGTCATTTTTTTCCTTCATGAAATTCTGCGTTTGTCTCAGTGACATTGACTCTAATGCGGAACCGTGTTTTTACCCTGGTATCCTAGACTGCGACAAATTGATGGAGCCAGCAGCTCCTCTCTGGTGCAGCTATTAGAAAGCAGCGCCATTCAACTGCTCACTATGATTTGACTTTGACTTCAGCCTGCTTTTGACTTGAGCAGAATATCATTGGCTCGTGTCCCTTTTGTCCGTTTAAATAGGTCCCCGATATTGAATATGAATGAGAACGGATGGCAGAGCTTCGTATCTAGAGCAGATTTGTGTGGTTCAGCGGTTGTCAGTGTGTCATATATGTATTTCAGGTCTCTGATAGGCCTTACTTTGACTATAACCTTGCCAGCCATGGTAGGCCTAATCGGTTTATTCGTATGAGAGCTCTGGTGTGGGGGGGGGAGAGGGGGAGGGGGGGTGGTCACAATTAAAAGCCCATTCTGTTCACCCATCATTAACCTGTGGTTTAAAATGTACATTTCAAGACACCTAAATACATAGTTATGCTGTATGACTTTCTCTGCGATGGATGGACACCGTGTACTGTGACCTCCTGCATGCACTCGTTGC